GGAACGACGGGACGAACACGGTCGAGAACACCGATGGAACGTGACATTGTGTAGACTTCCGTAGACTTCAAAACGGCCCATTTGGGATTGGGAAACACTTTTTGATATGGGGTGTGTGTTTAATCAAGCTACATGGCCAGTACTTCCATCCATGTCCATCCTCTCTCCCCCTTCTCAGGTTCCAAAGGACTAGGCCACGGCCCAGGTCCAGATTCATCCAAGTGGCGAAGAGCTTTGTCAACTTGCCCGATTGAGTTCCTCGGCTTTGCCACTTCAAGCAACATGAAGTTCCGCAACACCGATGCTCCCAACATTCGACAAGGGAATCTTTTGGGGGTGCTTTTCAAGCTTTATTGCTTAAATGGCTGAATCAAACAGCTGGGTCAAAATGGGGATGGTGTCCTCCATGCAGGAAACCCTAAACAGTGCTTCCATGACAACCCTTGAAGGGTTTTGAAAGAATTGTTCGAAAGAAACAGAATCGAAAACCCCGCCTCTTTTGTCGGTGCTGAGGCTCTAATGATGTCTACCTTACGCATAGCTGAGGGCAGCCTATGGATCATCATGCGAGAAACAACCCAGGCAATAAAAAAAATACCTTTTCTTGGAGGCTGCAGGGTCTTGTTTTTCCTCAGAAGCCACCACCACCGCAGCTCCCCAACAACGCCGCGTTGCAGCTCCATCGACGCCGAGCCGCGTGCGATGAACTTGAAGCCTTCGTCGCAGCGCTGGACGCTGTGTTGTCGCAAGATGTCATCCAAGGTCTCCACCCAATTCTCCTCAGAGGGTCCGGTCGACCGCACCCAAAGGAGTGCCTCAGTTGAGGTCCCAACCCGAACCAGTCTAGCCGCTTCCTATGTAAAAGGATCTCAGGCAAGGCAAATGAAAACATGTTTTATATATATTATATTATATTGTATATTAGATATTATATTATATATATATATGCATTTGTATTTTATATTATATATATATATCATATAAATATATGTATGTATATATATATGTTATATATATATATGTATACATATGTTATATATGTGTATATATATATATGCATTTGTATGCACATCAACAGCCACTTCTCACCATGTAAGGAGATCAGTTTGGCAAAGGACTATACAGCTCCTGCAGAGTGCTCTTTTAATGGCTTCCTTCAATTAAAAAAGGGGGAGAAGAGCATGAAAGAGCCTGCTGCCCCTCCATGCTATCCTCCATCCACCCCTCCTCCCTCGTCCGAGCAGCGAAGCGAACCGTTGCATCGGCCACCCGCGAGAAGACCAGGCGCCCCTCGGAGGCATCGTAGTCCTCGGGTCGAAGACGAGACGAGACGACGGCCCGTGGCGAAGGAGAAGGACCCGACCGATGCGACGGAGCAGATGACGACGCGGAAACCGTTGACGAAGATGAAACATGAAATGTAGAAATGTACTCTTGATCATGTGTCAAAGCCACATATGAAGAGGTGGCGGTGGTGGCGGTGGTGGCGGTGGTGGCGGTGGTGCTGCTGGTTCAATCCAAATGCGGCGGCTACTTTGGATCAAGAGTCTAGACGAATCTAGACATCATGTGACACCCTTGGTCGATGCACTTGATCAAGTCAGTCAGGTTTGATCGCTGATGAAACCGTGGTGGCCTACTTGCTCGCTCGGCCTGAAGGCCTTGATCGCTGAAACATGTCTTGGTCGCACCCTGTCCGTTCGGGTCATGGTAGTGCTGTGACAAGGCTGTGGCTCCAAGAACAGTCCTGACTTTGTGTTATCAGTTCTTTAAAGCTGAAATAGACGTGGGAAACTCAAACCCTGAAACCCCCAATCCCACGCATTACAGTATACACTGGGGACGAACAAGCCCAGCCCACAAGAAGCAGTGATCCGCAGTAGAATACGGAAAATGGATCAAAATGGATCTACGACCCCAATACGTGCTGCCCAGTAACCCCGTATACGAGCTGGATTCAGTTCTCCAAGTACGTACGGAGCTGCGAAGAAAAAAACCCTGCTATTATTCTTCCCTCGTTGTAGGACTGGTTTTAGGATTCACTTGGCTTCTCCCAGGAACAGGGACAGTTCCAAAATCACCCGAAATCCACCCAACACCCCACGCAAAAGCGTGGTCTGACCCAACCCACACCAACCTGGCATCTGGGCTGCTTCCTTTCGTTTTCGCGCTTGGAGCTGCCTCCCCCGACGCCGTGAAACCCATGCGTTTGACCGAATCGATCCTGGACGTAGACCCCAGGCAAACCCGAATCCAACCCACTGCCCGCTGGGCCGTCCGGGGGGCGACGCGGATGACCTCGCGACAACTGGGGCAGCGTGGCAAGCCCACGTTGCTCAGGGAGGTCGCGAGCGTGCGGTCCCAGCACCGCTGGCCTTGGAAGGAGAGGCCAGGAACGCCAGGTCTGGGGGCGAACTTGGAGGAGGTTGGGGAGGAGATGGGGGGGGAGAAATGGTGAGGATCCAGGGGTGAAGTTGGGGAGGTTGGATTGGTGGGTTAAGTTGTACTAAACTACTGAACAACAATATACAGTACAGTATGTATGTGTATGTATATATATATATCATATAGGTAGTAGTGGTTGTAAGAAGTATGCCAGGATTGTCAATTGTAGCATGATGTCCTTCCAAATCTTCCTGACGATACTACAGTAAGTAGCGAGGGAGTGTTGGCATGACGCTGCTGAAAATGCCGTACATGCACAAACCATGCCTGAACATGGCTTCAACACCATTTCACACCGAACCATTTCTGGCTGCAATGCATTCCTTCCTGCTTCTACGTCTTCTCAACTGCAGAGTTGGCTTGGTGTGATCATGTAGCATCCTGTGATTCTGGCGGACCAAGCCCTTCTGATCCTTCTTTTGCTACAACACCTAAGCCCTTAACGAGTTCATCCCAGTAGGTGCCGACCACTGGGGGAGGAAGCCCCTGATTGGCCCATCAAAGATCGCCTCATACTTCAAATATATTCAATTACATACACAGGAAGACTCCGAAACTGAAACTCCTGGATTTTCAGAAAGCAATGCAACATCCAAGCAGGGCCTTCAAGTTGCCACCAAGAACCACCAGATATAGGTACTGGTCCTCCACTTCAAGTCAAGCCTTGCAGGGTGCCACCCAGCCGTCCCCAGCTGTGCGGCCACGGCACAGTAGGGAACTTTACCTTGGCTGTAGGTGCAGAAAGAAGACACGTTCTCCACCAGAAACGGATGTCCCACCCAGGTTCGGAGAACATCAAGCGCCCCCCCTAGCCGGAAGCCCAACCAGGTGACAACTGCAGGGGAGCTCGATCGCTCCGTTCAGCTCCTGGCCGGGGCTGGTGGGAGGAGACCAGTTTAGGGAGGGAAATTCCGTGTCCTACTACGACCAGTCGGGAAAGAGACTCCTCCAGCTGCAGACCAATTTGTAGGATACATCGCATGGTGCTCTTTCAGACCCTGTGTATGGTATGAACTTATATCTTGGATGTTGTTGGCCGTTGCCCAGGAAAACCCTGCAACTACCACCTCCCAGCATCTTGTTTCTGAAGACGGGGGAGGTTCTTGGGGCCCTTCTCACGTGCCACACCTCGTTTCAGAAAAGTTCTTCAAAACTTAGTGACTTAGTGGAGATGTGGAGATGTGTGCAGCACTGTGTGCACTGATGGTTATTTCGTGTAAATTCTGGTAGGGACCCAGTCATGTCCCTTTTGTAATGTTTCTTTCCCCCCGAAGTGTTCACTTCACCTCGTTCGATCCTTTCGTGACTTTTTCTTCACCGAACTTCATGGTGATTTCCCCTTCTTCATGTTGACCACTTGGACTGGCCCTGATGCTCGGCCCGCCCGGACCCGCGGAACCCGGATCCACGGCTCCACACCGAGCGAGGCACGTCGTTCCGTCGAGCGCGACGGAGGCACGTTCTTTCCCCCGACCCTCTGGAGGACGACGAGGTCCAGCACCTCTTCGGTTCGGTGATGATCCAAACGGTACCCGGGTCGGTAGCGTCGATCGATGAACCCATGCCGATCGACCCGAAAACGCCCAAGTCGAGCTGGGTCGAGCCGCTGGGTTGGTTTCTGTGAAGACGCCGCTTGGTTGTCTGCATCATTCAATGAGGGTCACTTGCACGCCTTGCATGCAACACTGAAGACACAGCGGCACCCACTTCCCTGCCGGCTCCTCCAGATTGCCAAAGCACACACCGCAGGTGTCTTCATGCATGGCGGAGACAACACGCGAAGGCTTGAGCGGGGCTCATGCCCTAGTTCCAAGATTCGGGTTGTTTAGGCTTTCTATGGCTCTCTACAACTCGAGCTGTCCTACAAACTCGAGCTGTACCCCCGTGAGGTCCAGGAAGACTCGGACCACAACCCTCTCAGAATCCTTCTGGCAATGGTTCATGCTTGGCATGTGACGGCTCAGCCTGCTGTTCCTTTTTAGAAGGGGCCTCGTCCAGTGAACGGGTCGGCCAGTGAACGAGCAAATCCGGTGCTGGAATTCCCCGACCAGCTCCAGCTTGCTGAAGATGGTTGTTTGATGTTGTTTGGTTTCCAAACCCTCATTGTGAACATCTGACCGGAAAGCAACCTCCCCTGCTGCTACAACTTCAAGCAGCGAACAGCCTGTGACTGGAAGGCCTTGTGTAGATGTTGTAGGCAGCAAAGTCTAGAATCTAGAAGCCTCTTGAGAATCTGTGATCGAAGTAATTGAGGACATGCTCGGCTCCTCAGCTCCTCGGCTCACGGACGCGATAGTCACTCTGCTTAAGCCACGGAATAACAGTGCTCCCATTGCCAAGCAAGTAGGGGAAGCGACCATCCACACACGCCGTTTTCATGCGTATTGCAAAACTTTGTCCAGTATGCATGCATCCTGCAGTGAGTCCTTTCCCACCTACCCTTGGTCGTTTTGACTGCACTGATATGTGGGAGATGCTATTCTTGTAATTATGTTACAAAGAAAGCAAAAGCACAGATCCCATAAATCATGACAAAACAACCTGCGGCTCCAGGCGTAACAAGTGACCGTGAGGACATTGGAGATTGATGAGACGGAGGCACCCACCTCGGCTTTGTCAACGCAGCGAGGTGCTCCAGAACTTAATGATTCGACTTGGAAACGCGGCGCGGAGAACAAGGCGTTTCACAAGTTCCCAACTTGACTTGGGGGATGTTCAGTTGAGCAAGCAACGTTAGGATGGCACGCAGTTCACCGCTCAGGAATGCAGCAAGCAAGGCTGTTAATGTATGGGAGATACGTCAACTACTGGCCACTGCTCCCCATGGTCTGGGCAGTGCTAACCAAAGGTTGACCCACCAGCAGGTTTCGGTCTACAGAAAATCGGAAAACGAATCCATATGATGCTGATGTTTACCCCAAGTACAAGTACAGTAGAGCCAGTGTCCTCAAAATCTGGCTGACGCCACTGGAGCACATACGACTATACAAGATTAATCTCAGGGAGTTTGCTGGACGCTGTCTCACTTTTGGATTGCCACTTCAGAACACCAAAACCAATTAAGAATAAACCAAACATAAACCAAGTAATCCAAAGTTTGCCGAAGTGAATATCCACCTGGATTGCCACATCTTCACCAAACATAAACCAATTAAGATCAACCTCGCAGTGATCAGATCGCCTTCCTCCTCACGGCCATGGCCGCCTTCCGTCCTGAGACATGGACCACATAGCCCAACTGCAGCTGAGTGCGGAGGACCGCAAAGGCCACTTGGTTCAGCACCTGACGACGTCTCAAACGGCCGCGGCAAAACAAAAAGGGCCAGGCCTCGTCCAAAACCCAACGACGCCCTCATCTGCCACGACAAAAGCGTGCGTCCGGCGATCGACCCTTCCCAAACGACGTGGGGATTGAGCCTCCAAAACGGTGGAAGGCCGACGAAGCGATTTCCCGAAGGTTGTCTGGATGCTTTTTGTTTTTCTTGGAAAGCGACGAAGGTGTGCGTGCGAGATGGGAGATGAAGGGAGAGGACTTGGAGGCAACAAATCCAGCCCAACACCGATGGACGGCCGGATCCGATCATCCTCAAAGCATCCAATGGACAGGCAGGTGTGGTGTTTCTCAGAAAGAGGGAGCTCAGAAAAGTGATGCATCTCGAGGATGGTGGATGTCTCGGTCAGGTCCCCTCTGCGCTAGCAGCGAATGCTTAGTAAGGCCCTGGAGGTTCCCTCGCCAGAATCCTGACCTCATCTCTGTGCAGTAGGTCACTCACTAGCCCTAGTAGTAGTGGCGGCGCGGATTTTCTGGAGGTCTCTGAGTCCACACTGCCGCGCTGATACGCCCGCTTTTTCCTGCCTCCGAGACCAAAGCCAAGAGCACCCGCTGCTTGAGGCTCACGGCGCCAGCCAGCAGCGTCCTACACCGGAGACGCTGTTCGGACGCCGCTGGACGGCGCTTGGCGCTTTCAGACGCAACACGGACTGCAGAGTCCATTTCCCTCAACGCTCCGGACATGGTGTCTTGCTTTGAGCATCCGAAATTCAGGTGACAAGGCCGCAAGGGATGACTTGCAGTAGCTTATATATATATATAATTGCGTCGTCTTTTTGCCAAAGAATGCCAAAATCACCAGCCATGCTCACCTCGCGCTCCCGATTGGTCCATGCTCTACGTTGCTCCAGCCCCCGGCTGCAACCACTGAGCATCCGGACATGAGCATGGCATGTGAATGGTCACCTCGAGGATTCCTCCAGACCGACGCGGTGTTCGGGGTGCTCGAGACATGACGGGGCTGACCTCAAAGCTTCAAGAATGAAGTAACCTCAAAGCATCCGGCATTTAAAGTATTTGATCAACCCCATGCCCTTGGTGGACTATGGGTCATGATTTGTTCAAGCCACAAGCCCTAGAATAGGGAGACGGCACAAAAACCTCTGGAAAACGATGTTTTAAAAAGACTAAATCATACTAAATCCCATTGGGCCAGGGCGGTCCCCGTGTGGAACATACAAACCCACATGAAGACTCGCATGCTGGAAGAAAAAAACACATGCACCAGTCACTCTACCCCTTGCGCCAAAAAGGTTCCCCTTTAAAGAAAAATACACCCTCCCCCCCCATTGAAGCCATGCAAATCCCCAAAAAAAAACCGCTTCGACCTCACCGCCCGCCGTGGACCCACCTGGCTCGCAGCTCCACCAGCCCTCGTACACGCACCACACGCTCCACCTGGCTGGGTGGACCAGTTGTGGCTTCGTTCGAAGCTTCTTGGGAGCCTCTGGGTGGGCTTCTACCTGGGGTAGAATCCGAATCTTTGGGTCTTGGTAAGGGGACTGCTAGCTGTGTCAACACAGTGGTGCATCTACCTTGGGTGGGATGGTCAACAAAAGGCACGTTGTTTGGTCTAAAACAAATGTTCGAGGTCAGGATGACTTACCAACGCGACGAAGCCGTGAACAGGATCAAATGCTACACCTCTTGGACCTACTACAAAGCAGTCGGGTCCAGCCTTCCTCTTTGGAGTGGCCAAGAAGTGTGTGTTTTGTCCAAATTCACCCACCCAATGAAGCCAAATTTGGACATCTTTTTGTTCTGATTATATTTAATAAATATTTATGGGAATAGTTTTTTTCTTTATGCTAACGGTTCTTTTTTTTATGCTGGATTTGGGTGGGTTCTTTTTTTTATGCTAACGGTCTTTATTTTTATGCTAAGGGTTTT